GTTTGTATGTAGGATCAAGAACAACAGCGTCAATGAGCAATACATGGATATCAGTCCAGTATTTGCTAAACTTGGCCCACAATTTTTCGGCCATTTCACAAATATCAGAATCAGTCATCCACTCAAGCAGATTCAATTTCAAGTCACAGATTCTTCGAAAGAATATATTAGCAATAGGATAATTGCTTTCAAAAAGAAGCTAAGAAATATTTTTGAACAACCTCAAGCTTTTTGCTAATAACAGTAGCAAACATCCAATCATCACTGCTAGGCAAGGAAGTATAGTTAGGTTCTATCTGATTCAAACGAGTGAACACTCCCTTGTATGGAATTGCAGATTCAAGCATATGCAAGGTGGAATTCCACCTACTAGGGCAGTCAAGAGCAAGTTTCTTTCCAATACAAACATTCTTTTGCCTAGCAGTCTCTTCAAAGAACTCAAGTCTCCTAGGAGTTGCAGTCCAATACACCACACTTTCCCTTATCTTTTCAATCCCATCTTTTATAATTTCAAGCCCATCTTTAACAATTAAGTTAAGAATGTGAGCCGAACATCTCATTTGCAGCAAGGAACCATTTAATAGAAAGCCGAACATAACTATCTTACTTTTAATCTTTTCAATCATGGCATCATTTGTAGAACAGTTGCCAAGAGTTATAATGGATAACTTACAGTCCACATTCCAGGACATTAGGGCCTCTCGGAGCACACTTGCAAGTTTCTCACTAGTATGGGGGGCAGGAATATAGAGAAATCTGTCATACACTCACACAAACATCAAATGAAGCTCGAAGTAAGTTTCTGTTAAGTGTTAAACAAATAAACATCACAGAAAGAACAAAATTGAATAAGCAAGTTACCTTAACAAGTGGATCCTAAGGTTTCAATTGTTGTCAACATAATGAGAGGTTACAGCCATGTAAGCCCTCTTCCGATTACTTGCTGCCCACATGTCAGTTGTGACAGCAATTCTACTTTTGTTACCATCAATCATTTTTTGCATCTTTTTCCTCTTAATCGCTAATACACCTCTGGGGGGTGTATGTTATCAAAGTAACGCAGCAAACAATCAATCCGAAGATTGATTGAACTCGAATCAAGAACACCGCGTTCTTAATATGAAATTTGGATAAAACGGAACCAACAGATAATTCCACACCTGGGGAAAGCTCGTATGGTATAAAAGGGTAGCTGTTCGACTACGATTGAAGAGGATATTCAATCGATACAAAGCTCACAAGCTTGGAATCCACCAAACTCAAACAAGTCGCAGCTTGCACAAAACCAAAGGGTTTGTTTTTCGATTAATCAAAGTATAAGTTTTTACAACGTAAATAGAAGGCTATTTATAGCCAAGAAAACCTAATACAAACCTAGATGAACAAGGAAACAAATATGGTAAAATTCTACTCTAAAAAGGTTACAAAATTAGGACACAAACTTCCTTTCTTGAAGCACAAGTAAGCTGCCCGCAAAACAGTCAAAAGCTAGCTTTCGTACTAACTTCGCGCCTTTTGTTCGAGGCCTTCCCGAACTCTAATTCTTCATCCAATTCCTTCCCTTTGTTCACATACCTAGTTTCGTGTTGTGGAATCCTTTGGACTTGAATAAGATCCACACTCCTCGAATAAGCTCCAAAGTAGGCTTCACAAAACAGTTTCCAGACTTAACCATTTTCTGGCAGTTTTCCAGTTTTGAGGTAGCAACTTTGAGGCCTTGGAAAACAACCTTAATGACATGATCTGGCTCCACAAAGCATATCATTGAAAAGATGGAAACTTTATCTACAAAACAAACCCTTAACCTTGAATTTCCACCAAGCCAATTGAGAGAACCATGCCTCGAAAGTATGTACCCTGAACACGGATTTTGACTTAGCCAATTTCTGCCTTTCTTCTTCCCAACTTTGATAGCTTCTTTGTCAAGTAATTGTGAAGTGAATGATGGGAAATTTTGGATCATATCAGTTCCTCCCTCTTGAAAAAGTGTTGCCCACAACACTTTAGCCTTTTGTTGCTCAAACCATTCACAGAATTGATCCCAAATTGGATTGAAAGAAGGCTGCTCAAACTGAAATTTCTGGAAAGCTAGGTCAGAGTTCATCATCCATGGAATTGGGGATTTTTTATTCAGCCATCTCCAGTCTAATTCACTGCATCCAAGAGCATTGCCATACTCCCAATTGTCGTTCTGGACCAGCCCTTTGCGTCGAATCATCTTCATTCACGTCGAACCACCTCCTCGTCGATTCCCGCCTTTGGCGAGTTTCAAATGCACAAGACTCCGAAGGTGCAATCTCGATTTGGGGGTTTTTTATTTCGTCAAGTCCGGATCAAATTGAGTGATTATACAGCATCTACTGAGCGAATGTGATGATTCTGTAGTGTTGGATTTGCTCGAATCGAGCTGGGTTGCTTCACCCAAGAGAGTGTCTTCGTCGGCAATGCTCTTCAAGAAAAGAGGTGTTTTTTCACAATTCGATTATGCAATTTGAGGTACGATCACCTCCAATGACACAACACCTGCCATTCCTGGGGTCAAAGTGAACGTTTTAGCACCGGCGACAGAGTTCGAATCTTTGCCGGAGATTCCACCCAAATCATTCTCTCTCATGCTCTGTTTTGACGGGACTGGATAGATTGGCGCAACATTAATCAACGACTTGATTCGAGAAGCTTCAGGGATATCAGATGCTTCTACTTCTGTGTTCGACATTCCTACATCTTCAAGGAAGAATTTTTCACCCGCCTGCTGACTCGAATCTTCCTGTAACTCCGCGAGTTCGTCCGGATGCTTGAGATTTAGTTTCACGGGAGCAAAATAGGGGTGCCCAGCTCCGTCGCACTGCTCTTTCTCAATGAGATGGATCTCTGGCTTATGTAACTGCTTCTCCCCATTAGAAAACTCCATCGTTAGTAGCTGTCCCTCCTCGTCACAGATTTGTTGAAGCAGGGTGGCTCGATCTTCAGCCGCTTCCTCCGGAGACAGAAACTTTAAAGCAAAATTTTTTCCACAATGCCGCAGTCTAACATGGGTTGTCCTTCTGCTTCGTTGAGCTCTGCGATCAACGTGCCAAGGATTTCCAAGCACAACATGGGTCATCTTCAGAGGCACCACGTCGCACCGAACGAAGTCTTCGTAGTTTCCGATTTTGAAAGGTAAGGTCACCTCCTCTGTGACGAAAACAGAGCTTCCTGTTTCCAGCAATGATGTCGAGTAAGGAGCTGGATGCTTTCGTATAGGCAGCCCCAATTTAGCCACTACTCGTGAGATAATCAAGTTCGATTGGCCTCACCATTGACATACATGAGCACACCTTCTCTCCCACCAAACAGCGAGTATATGACATCAAATTCGCTTGTTCTAATTCGCCCACCATGGCTGCCCTGTTTTTCGACGAATTCTGCTTGTACGAATCAACAAGGCAAGAATATCACTCTTGCAAGTGTTTCTTTAAAGAAGGGCTGCAGAGAATTGCAAATTTTTTTGAAATAGAAGTGATCCACCATACCAAGTGGAACTCGTGCATCAAAACCATAGTGGAAAGTTTCCTCCTTGAAACCTCTGCATTGAACTGACCAATACACAGTTCTTTCTTTCTTTCTTACCAAGAGCACCGTTAGGGAGGAAATTAGTGGCAATGTTTTTCTTATTACCATCGTGAATTTGTTTCTGAACACACCTTTTTATGGTTCCTCAAATGAAAGGTACTATTGCTGGTGTCACCACCACGAACCTATCGACACTACTTGTAAAGTGAGGCCAAACATCACTTTTTATGTTTTTCTTATTACCATCATGCTTTCATTACACCATCTTTATCCACAAACCTTGTAAAGTGAGGCCAAACATCACTTTTCAGTGGATGTTTGTCCCCAAAAGGCAGGGGAGAGGGCCCTGACTCACCACCACCAGCAACACGAGTATCAACATTGCTATTCACCGTTGCTGGTGCATCAACAACAATCACTCGTTGATGCTGCTGTGATTCAGGCAGGGGCTGAGGATTGGGGGTGGGACTGGGGATTGAGAGTTGGGGGCGGGAGAGAATTCAACTCCTTCCATTAATTACCTGCAATCACCCGAGAAAACAAACCAATGAAACCAATCAGTCGCTGCTAAATTCCTTGAAACCTGAAAGAACTAGGAGAATCAAGTAGTATTACCTTTCTAAGCTTTGTTACTGATCAATGACAACCCCGCAACCAGCAACCCTAACATCAATCAACAAAGTCCCGAGGTATTAGACAAGTCACAAGAGACAAGTTGTTGAAAAAAATCTTGCAAATCCCAGACGAAAGGCTAAGCAAAATACTTACGATTTGTGCTCCTTGCAGTTGCATTGAGCCAGTGACTGGAAATCGCAATTGCAGACAACTGCTAGCTTACTACTTCTCTCTAGAGTGGTATGCCTTTTGAGAATCTGGCAATCTGCAGCAAAAAATTCAAGTAAGGTATTTATAGGCGCATGCATGAAGGGGAAAAAAGAAGATGGTATCGAACTCGAAGAGTCGATAAAGGGAAAATGGCGCTATAATCGCCATCGGGAATGGCTCGATTCAAAAAAATCGAAGGGTTTCAACTGATTGATTGGGTATCTGATCTTAAAAACAATGAATGTAGTGATTTTGTGCCATTTTTCTCTACAATCGAAGAGCATATTGCGAGATTTGAGGAGAAGAAGGGACAGGGTTGGGGATTCGATTTTTTAGAGCGGTGCTAGGGTATGTAAGGGAATGAGTTGTTTTTGCGAAATGAGCTGGGCTGGGGTGGGGTGGATGATTTGAGGGGAAGCGGGTTTTGGGTTCTCTCGGGGTGGATAGTCGGAAACTCACAACCGCCCTACAACCGGCTGTAGCGGATAACAGATTCCCCGCAATTCGTCAACTATCCGTTTGAACGGGTTTTAACCGCCACAAAATGGGTCGGGTTCGGTTGGGCACCCGGAATTCGGGTCCAATTGACAAGCCTATCATAAAACCTCCGGGATACCGGTCGCCTGCTGATAGATAGCGCGCAGTCCGGCGGGGTAGACAATCTTTGTTATCCGGTTCTTGTTGCACTATCCTCCTTCACTATGCGCTCCATAAGCAAGCGGACTAGCACCGCCAACGCGGCTGAGGGCACCACCAGAAACTGCCACACTGCGCTCCAGGTACCCGATTCTTCCATCTCGCCCTCGATTAGGACTACAGAAGCAGAATCAGAAGTAGAATACAGTGAATTTCCTTTGGATGTTGTAGTTGGGGTTTTGTCTCGGCTGCCGGTGAAAGCCCTATTTCGGTTCAAGTCCGTCTCCACCAATTGGGACGCCATGATTCCGTGCGACCCATACCTTGTCTCTCTGCACCTCAAAAACTACACCAATAACCCCGCCACCACGTACTCCCTCCTCTGCAACTACCTTGAACACTCTTTAAAGACTCTGCATATCGCCGCCGATCAATTTCACTTTCCCCCAATGATCAACGACCCATCAGTTTTGGGCGACTACAGCTTGCTTGAGAGTGGTGGCCTGTTTCTTCTCGCCAACCCATATCGCCGCCGTCCCGATTACAGTTTATGGAACCCTTCAACTTGAGAAATTAGACTTCTTCCCGACCCCCCTCCGGCACCTTACATCCCCGGCTTCCTACCACCATGCAGTTCATGGCATTGCAACGTTGGTGCGGAGTTGGGCTAGATTTAGTTTCTCATGATATCAAGGTTGTTCTGTTTCATAACTATTTTTTGAGCGCCAACCCTATGTCCATCTCGTCTTCCCCTGTGTATCTGTATTCATTACACATCAATTGTTGGAAGGACTTACCAGAAAGCTACCTGCACCACGAATTGATTAGACACTGGTTGTACAACCCTGCTTACTTCAAGGGTTTCTTCTATTGGATCTTTAGGAGCCGTAAAAATGAGTACGTAGTGGCATTTGATATGGGAAACGACTCCTTTCAAAAGATCAACTACCCTTGTGATGCTCCCGATCGAAAGTGCAATGCAACCTTAGCATGTATCGCGATTCAATCGCTTTGTTTAAGGAGCAGATGATGGACAACTTAAGTGTTGTTGATGTATGGCTGCTTAGCAGTTGCATCGATGGGCAATGGTATTGTTGGATCAAACATTCGATTCTCGGTCCTTTTCCCGACGGTTTATCCCTGAAGGGATTTTGGAATGCTGGTCAGCTCATCGCTCATAGGTGATAGAACTCGAGTTCGAGCTCTACCTAGGGATTAGGGATTAGGATCAACTAGGGATTGATCCAGTGATTTGGATAATAGGAAGAGGAGTGGATTTGGGGGTGGATGAGGAGAAGAGAGTGGAAAAAGGGTTGCTGCCGCGGCAGCAAAGGGGAAGAGGACGGCTCGGCGGCCAAAGAGAGAAGGGAGAGGGAGATTAATCAAAAGTAGGTTTAGGTTTAATCTTGCTTACCCATTTTTACGTAGCCTCATAGTTTAAGTACTAAAACATATTTACCTATCACTACCCCAACTTATTAATCTTAACCTATCCCCAAATCAAACCCACATAAACAATTCTTAACAATCAAATCCGAATCATAATAAACAAATAACTAAGTGTCTATCATTCTCTCCCCCTTCAAAACGACCTTGTCCTCAAGGTCGTCAATCTTCCACCTTGTCGTCTGACCCGCTTGCTTCTTCTTCCGCCTCGTCCTCCCACCTTCCGACGAGCATCATCAACTCGGGACTTGCACAATTGCGCCCTATCGTGAAGCGCTCGTCGTAGTTGAAGCACTTGCCTTCTCGCCTCTTCTGCTCAACCTCAGCAGGGGATAGTCGCACGAACCCCTTAGGCGGTGGCCGCACCCCACCTCGGATGCCAGTCGTCGGCGTAGGCCCACCAGCGGGTCCCCCAACTCAGGTACCGACCCTCGTACCTCCACCTCCCGCTCCACTGCTGATGCCCACCCCGCTAGGCCGCGGGTAACGACCTATGGAACTCCTCCAACTGGCAAGCTCCTCCTCCTTGTAACATGCAAGACGAAAAGCAGACTTCAAGGAGTCTAGTTCAAAGACCCGGACGGCCGCAGCGATCTCCGGTCTTAGGCCTGCCATACATAGTCCCACCAACATATCCTCAGGTACCCCTCGGCACTGATTACCCAGCTTGAAGAACTCCGCACGGTAATCCGCAACTGATCCTGTCTGCTTCAGTTTGGCCAGCTGTTTGGGAGCCCATCCCTCCACCTTACCGAACTGGTAACGGAGCTCCTCCTGGAACATCGGCCATGTGATCAGAGTCTGTGCCGCACTGTATGACCGCTCCATCCATTCCCACCACCATAGTGCTTCCCCTTCTAAATAAAAAGACGCCAGATGCGCCTTCTGCTCCTCCGGTATGGGGTGATTTCTTAACCACCTCTCCGCTGCATACAACCACAGCCATGCATCCTCCTAACCATTGAATTTTGGAAATTCAATGGTAGGGGGCTTGGCTCAAAAAAGCAAACCATCAACTCCTTCATAAGTAGGGTGATACGAACAATACCTGTCAAAGCCCGGCTCCCCTCCCGGACGATGCTGATGAAACTGAGAGCCACTTCCATGTCCAAGACTACTCGAGGCCCCTCGAGCGGTTGGACCAGCAGCGCCTCCATACGGCCCTTGCCACTCGTTCCAGGCCATTGGACCTGCTCCCCCGATCGGTGGCTCGAACTTATTCGGCCCGTTACCCGCCCGACCTAGTCCGACCCGACTCGAGTCGGTCCAACCCGGTGTGGTTCGCCCTGGCCCGGTTTGACCAGAGTCGCCTCGACTCAGCCCAACCAGCTGTTGCCCGACCCTGACCGGTCCAACACGAGTCGGCCAACCCGTGCCTGGTCGGCCCATCACCTCGGCTCGGCCCAGCCCATCCGAAGCCGGCCCGCTCCTCCTGGCTCGGCCCATCGCGGGCGGCCCTGCCCACCACCTGGTTCGGGCGCGACGGAACCCCAGCGAAAGCCGAATCGGCCCATTGGGCGTTTTGGCCCATCAGGCGGAGCTCCTCATCAGCCCACTCCTAATCCGGATGCAGCCATCCCAGCCCATGTGGCTCGTGAGGCTGACCCACCGAATCAAATCTCCCCCATCGAACCCGTGAACACATACACTGTGGGTTGTGCCCCACCATCATAACCGGCCACCTTGGCCTTCCCCTTACGAGCCGCCATCTCCAGGGCTGCCATCTCTTGGGCCGTTGGCGTCGGCAGAAGCCCCGGTCCGCCACCCCGACCCATCGAGCCGTGGCCTGCCCGCCCCACCAGCGCCGTCGTTTGGTTCCCCGGCCCGCCGGGTGTCGAAGCCGCCTCCAGGTCCACGACCTGCACGACCGCCGACCGCCGGCGCCGCCAAACTGCCTCCGGCGCCGCTGCCTGTGCCGGTCGCCGCCACCGCCGATCCTGCCGCCGCTGGTAATGTGGTCACCCCGGTTTCCCCGCTCGCGCCCGGCGCTCCCCCCGATGTCGTCACCAGCGGGGCAGCCGCCCGAGTACCGCCGCCCTCACCCGTCACGGCCGCCTCCTCGCGCGCCGCGGCCCTGCCGTGGCTACCCTTCGGAGCAGAGCGCTATTCCTCACGCACCTCGACCGGCAAGGCCTGGAGGGCGTCGATCCTACTCCCCAGCCGTCGGGATTCCGCCATCCGCTCCTGGCACTCCTCCGCTATCAGAGCTACGAGATCGCGGAAGCGGGCCTGCGGCTCTTCCTGCTCTGTCACATCCTCCAACACCTCGTCTACCAGAATGCGCGGCCGGCCCTGCGGGGCCTTGAGAGGCAGTTGAGTCCCCGCGGGCGGTGCATGATCAGCCCCGGACGACACGACAGGCGCGTCGGCAGCTTGTTTGGCCAGGGCAGCCTTCTCAGCAGCGGACATGGATTTGGTGAGCACCATAGCAACATACGAACGGTATGCAGAAGCTGCAGGCTCTGATACCAAATGATAGAACTCGAGTTCGAGCTCTACCTAGGGATTAGGATCAACTAGGGATTGATCCGGTGATTTGGGAAATAGGAAGAGGAGTGGATTTGGGGGTGGATGAGGAGAAGAGAGGGGAAAAAGGGTTGCTGCCACGGCAACAAAGGGGAAGAGGGAAGAGGAAGGCTCGGCGGCCAAAGAGAGAAGGGAGAGGGAGATTAATCAAAAGTAGGTTTAGGTTTAATCTTGCTTACCCATTTCTACGTAGCCTCATAGTTTAAGTACTAAAACATAATTACCTATCACTACCCCAACTTATTAATCTTAACCTATCCTCAAATCAAATCCACATAAACAATTCTTAACAATCAAATCCGAATCATAATAAACAAATAACTAAGTGCCTATCAATAGGCCTGTCAAATCGGGCTGCTCAATTAGTACGATATTGTCCGCTTTGGGCCAAGCCCGCACGGTTTTACTCTTGGGTGTCCTCCCCAAAAGGCCTCGTACTAATGAGATTGGTGGACACTAATAAACAAGGGTTCCTTCCCTTGTATAACCGACGTGGTACTTGGATTGTCCCATAACAATCATCCTCTCAAGCCAAGGACAACGAACATCGTGTCCTCACCTCAGCGATTATCTTGATCCGCCAGATGCCTTGTATCGATGGGCTTCTCGATACAAGGACTTTACCAGACGCAGAACTCTCTTTGATCTGCTTCCCAAATGTGAAACTCTCTTTGATCTGCCAAGCCCAAATGTGAAACTCTCAAGCCAAGGACAACGAACATCGTGTCCTCACCTCAGCGATTATCTTGATCCGCCAGATGCCTTGTATCGATGGGCTTCTCGATACAAGGACTTTACCAGACGCAGAACTCTCTTTGATCTGCTTCCCAAATGTGAAACTCTCTTTGATCTGCCAAGCCCAAATGTGGATCTCTCCTGGATCCACCAAACCAAACGCAGATCTCAAACCCCAAGGTCACCGAATGAGGGTCCACCAAACTGACGTCCACCGCCGCGGACCGAACCAGCCTCTGATACCACTTGTCGAAATCGAGGCGCTCAATTAGTACGATATTGTCCGCTTTGGGCCAAGCCCGCACGGATTTGCTTTTGGGTGTCCTCCCCAAAAGGCCTCGTACTAATGAGATTGGTGGACACTAATATACAAGGATTCCTTCCCTTGTATAACCAATGTGATACTTGGATTGTCCCATAACAAGGCCACATGAGGCTGAGTGGCAACTAGTGCTATTTGATATCGATAGTAAGAAAGTAGAAGTTCTGGTGCACAATTGACATCTGGTGAGGGACTGTCATAATTACAAAGAATCTTTGGTATGCATATCAAGGGGGAGTTACAAGTTTGATCAAAGCTTATGGATAGATATACCAATAATTTTATATATGTATGGTAGTGACTAGCATCTTTTTTATATTTTTAATATGTTTAATGGTACTTGGGGAAAGAAGGACGTGGTTTCTGGTTTCTCATCTGAATTTGCATATGGTTTTATGTGTTCTTGAATCTTATTGAATTTCGTTAATATGGTTGACTTCTATGATATAGTTCACTATTACAATCCACATTCAGTTTTAGATTCTCTTGAAGGTGGTTATGTTTTGTCCAAGGTCGACCACTTTGGGCCCTGGCATGCTTGGCAGACTCATCTGCGTTGCAGTCAGCAATTTGTTTCTTCTCTGTATTCCATATGCGTGACAACGTAGTCATTTGCTTATATGAACCGAACAACTCGTGAAAATCAGCCGGCTTCCCGACCCCTCTGTGGTACCTAAGATCCACTTGAATTCAAGTCTTGGTGTATGGTTGCTAGCTAGAGTAGTCCTAATATAAATTGTTTTGGATCGAACATTCAAACTTTGTACTTGACCCTGAAAGGTATGTGTGGGGTATATGTTGGAAGGATAACCAACCTATCGCATGAACGTTATCCACATTCAATTGTTAGTCGTGTAATCTATTTTCTAAATATGTATAAATAAGGTAGTAATTTAAAATTTAAATGACTTAAATGAAATTTAAATGAAATATATCTATATTTACACAATAAATAAAAGGAAAATAGGGAAATTTGAGCCTCATTTCAAAATTCCCGCATC